GAATTCTAGACAACTACAAGAGTTTAATTACACTGAAGGCATTCACATCTCTAACACAACTTCATTTTCGGTTAATGCTTAATGTTATTAATTATATGCACTGACAATATACATTCTATGTTAAAATGGTGTCGAATGACAAATGAGATACTTGATTTGGTTAACTGGGAAGTTGATGTAATAATTCGCATCTTGTTCAAGAATGAACCTGGCCACCAAGCCTTCGTTGGTTCAGACAAAGTTCGAAGGACCCCACCCAAGCAAATAGGCTCATTCGATTACTCGTCAGTTGCATTTCTACCAGCGTGCTCAGAAAAGCGATCATTTGAAAATCTGTGGAGCCTCACCATGGCAGCTGTTTATCTAACCTTCTGTTTCCACGTAAGTGCACTTTTGTTCATTTCAATTGTCAAGACAGCGTTAGCATCCATGCCTCATTGCAGATTGGTGGATATCCAATGAAATGGTGCAGGGAAACAGATCTGTTCTTCGAGCTACCATCTGCCAGTAAACGGCCAGACTGCATCCCAGCAAGTTGGCTTGCCTCCTGTCTTCTCTACCACTTGCAAACTATTGGCATTAATTCGTTTTCAGTAACTGAACTGGCAGGCAAGGAAAAATTTGATGAGGGTCGTTCTCGTAACCATATAGGTGATGGATAATTAGTATAAATAGAGTGACAGAACGTGAATTGATGAAACTTAACTTCAGTCCATAGCCTGTAGCAAAACTTAAAACTTCAAGACTGTCAATATGGGCATGCTTTAGCAATGAAATTCTTTTCTTTACAAAATAATATTAGAACCAATCTAACGGAGTTTCAAGACTGGGGTAAACTTTTTGCGATTACTAAGTAATTTGATCAAACTGAGCTAACTCTCCAGACTTATTAACTCGAAAAATAGCAAAGTATTTAAGTAACTGAGATTCAGTTCCTCCATTTACTAAAGATAACAAATAAATTAATATTTTATTTCTCAGGAACCGGAAATGTAAACTGAGAAATACAACACCATATTATGGGCATGCAATTGCACTTTCAAAGAATAAATATTCGATGAGAAGTGAGCAAATTTCAGTTCGTTAAAGAATACAATGCCGGCTGTTTTTCGTTTCTTATAAGCCGGTATAAAGTCAAATGATTAACCCCTTGTTATTTAGGCACCGTATGTAAATTTCATCTCTCGTAGGAGTATTGTGCAAAAAATTCTTAATGAGTCAATTTTGATAAAACTCGAAATAATTTCAATATAAAGCAGGCATCTTGAAAAAAACTCTTTTGGTATCTTATATGTTGCATAAGTGTTAATCAGTAGAACATTTCAAGTCAATAATAGGTAAAACAGGTCATTGTGGTTCCCACTTCTAAAAGAAACAAATCAAGCTAAGTTTACCCAAATGGGGTGCGCGATAGACTTACCTGGACGTGGTGCACCCTGGGCAACGTATACTCATACGTCAAAA